TCATTGTCCTGTCTGTCAGCTTTGTGACACTGGAATTAAAACAGGTGCTGCCAGTGCTCCGGTCTCCCAGGAGAAGGCCAGCTTGGACACAGGAGGCCTCAGTGCCCTACAGGGCACCGCAGGGATAACCTGCTCTCCTGCCCCTAGCACAGCCTGCCATCTCAGTTGGTGTCACGTCTCAAGCTGCCCTTTCCCAAGCCAAGCCTTGTACCTGCACAGGATCCCTTTTCAATGGACAGATCATCCAATGCTACGTTGCTCCGGGCATCTTCACCCCATTGTCCCTCCAGGAAAATCTAAGGGAAGGAATTGTTCCCAGCATTAGCTCTGGCTGCATGTGTGAAGTGCCATTAGAGAGGGCGGTTCCCCTCAGGTGGCAGTGAGAGCCTGTGCCCCTACCTGCTGATTTCCTGTGATGTGCACCGCCACCTCTCCCAAGTGCCACATGTCCCCATGGTTCCCTTCTTGATTCCAGACCACCTGTTGCACATGGTCGTCTGCCACGTACACCCTCAGGGCCATTTCAGCATTTCCGTACATGTGGTACCAGAAGCGGAAGCAGTGCGTTCCTTCCCAGCTGCACACTGGACTGACCAGGACAGCCACAAACCCGGAGAGAGCATCATCAGTCCCTTGCAGGTAGATGTAGTAGCCATCTGAAACCAAGCATGGGCCACACTGTCACACACACATCAAATCTAGACAAAGCAGCCGGGAACCACCCCAGCACAGACCTGGGAGCACCAAAGCTGCAGTTTCAGGCAGGCAAAAGGAGGGGGAAGCAAACGCAGGTCTTTCACAAGCCACAAGCCTCCCCGGACCCGAGTGCCCCTACGAAGGTGCTCTCTGGGCCACGGCAGCTGTATGCTTTGGTCTGGGCAACGGCACCACCTGCAAAGCACTGCCACTGGCCTTGCGTGGCTCTGTGGCTTTGGAGACTCACTCCTCATCTTTGTTTTTTGGAGAAGCCTGCATCTCTGTCTAACAGAGAGACAGACCCATTCCTGTTCCCTGGAGACAAATGGGTCATCAAGCTCTGCACTGCTTTCTCTCCGCATGGCAGGTCCTGACCTGCCCTGCGGGTACCACAGACTGATTCCCAGGGCTGGAACTCTTTCCAAAGGAAGCCTCTGGCTCTGGGGGACACTGCTTTAGGTTGCTCTGGATGAAAACCAGGAAAGATGTGGCCTGTGTGTGCTGTTAGAAGAAGTTTATGGATATCTTCCAAGGGACGCTCCCCATCCCATGTCCCGACTTCTGTGCCTACCTCCAGTTGTGTGGTCAGAAGAGGGGCCGGTATTGGGTGTGGGCGTTGGGCCTTTGTTCCTTATCCAGTCAATGCTGCTATAGTCTGCCTGGACCCAGCCACAAAAGTCCTTGTCGAATGTGCAGCTGAAATTGCAGTCTGTTGGGGGAGCTGGACGTGGTGCAGAAAGGAAAGCAGAAGTTGTAGAGTGAAGGTGGGGCCACCATTTCCCACTGTCACCCAGTGCTCACACACAGCCACATACACCCATGGCATGCCTGTGGCCAGGTGAGGGTGGCCAGCCAAGGGGAAGGGCTTAGCACAGCCAGTAAAAGACATGGATGGGAGACAACCATACCTGTGCTTGTCCCAGGTGCCGGTGACGTTGTTGTATGTGGAGGCCTTGTGGTAGTGCCTGGCAAGGGCGGCGAGGGTGTAGGAGCTGATGAACGAAAGAGAGTGAACCAGAGGTGGAGAAGGTGTGTTTCATAAGGGGGATTTGTTCCCAAATGAGGGTGTTGCACCCTTCCCAAACACCACCACACCATGGCAAAACAACTCTAGGACAGGGATTCCACAGTGTTCCCAACCCAAAGAGTCTCTTCAGCTGAGGGCTGGCACACCGGGCCAGTTAGGTGACATGGGGGGAAACCGCCAGCCCAGCTGCCCCACTCCTTGAATCAAGGAGAGAGTCAAAGAAGTCAAAGGAGATGGACGGAAGGCTTACCACAGACAGTGCCAGCGCTCCAGTCTCCCAGGGCAACGCCTGCCTCCGCACAGGCTGCGGCGTAGGCCTCCAGGTCATTGCAGAGCTGCTCCGTGCTGCTGCCCGTGGCACACTGGTCGTAGACACAGCTCTCAAAGTAAGTCTGGGGAGGCAGAACTGCATGGCATGGCTGGAACGGGCCACCCAGATGTGTGAGGATTGAACACTGCTTGTTAGCTGCCTCCTCCTCGGTGGGGGAGCAGGACGCAGGCGGGCTGATGGCTGGGTTACACCTACACAGCAGACAGACAACCCTGAGCTCACCGCAGCCACACCATTTCTTGACCTCCTCCCCAGCCAAAACCGCAGCTTCCGGAGCCCAGTTCTCCCCTGAGACAGGCACCCACGGTGTCACTTGCAAGGGTGGAACGCATGGCCCACAGTCACCCGTCCCACCCCTGGCATCGGGTGGAGAGAAGAAAATGCCTGAGGCTGTTGCAATCCCTCAGCTTGGGAAAAGCATCATGCCCAGGCCCCAGACCACCCTCCCGCAGGTCAAGAAACTGCCTCTTCTCCCTTGCCCCACGCCTGCCATCGCCGACCCTTCCTCCTCAGGGCCCTCACAGCTCCCCTCTCCCACACTCCCTTTTGTCCTTCATCTGCAGGATGGATCAGGGACTCACGGCCACTCATCATCCGGCACCCTCCAGCTGGCTCCAAAGTCATTGAAGTCAGGCACGACAACTCCATCAGGGCGCATGAAGTCATCCTGCTGGCTCCCAGTGTACGTGCCACACAGCCCACAGAGCTTGCCCTTGTGCTTCTCAGACACCTTCACGAGGAGCTCGTGGTCCCCATTGAACTGCAGCTGCAGGCCCAGCTTGGTGGAAACACGCACGTAGGAGCCGCTCAGGGAGATGGTCACACTGGGGGCAGGAGAAGCAGGCAGGGAGACCAGAGCACCGTTGATCTGGAGAAGGGGGAAGGAGGGAAGCGTAAAGAGGTGCCCTCTGCTGAGAGGTCCCTGTTCCTCATCGGGGTGGTGCCAGGGCCCAGTGAGGCAGCAGCATTTATGGCGTGAGAACCCCTGCCCAGGCCTACGAGGACACCAGCAACTCTACACACAGCCCACCAAAAGGTCAGGAAAGCAGCCAAAAATCTGTGGCTGCACGAGCAGCCAAATCTGCCCCACTCAGAGCCTTGCCATGCTCTTCTGTGAGCACACAGCAGGCTCAGGGAATAGCAAGCTCTCCCTGGGGACAGAGTGGTATTTAGGGGTGCTTAGTGCATCTGTGGTCCCGGGTGTAAAACTGAGGGGCTTACGTAGACGGCCTTGCGCTCGCGCAGTGCAATGTGGAGGCCTTCCAGGGACAGTGCCACAGAGTTCAGAGCTGTCCAGCTCTGGCTGCCGCGATGTTTGTTGCGGGTGGTGACGCTGAACCCGATGGAGGAGTTGTCACAGCCTGTCACAACGGTGTAGTTGCAGGAGCCCTGGAAGTGGTGAAGCTTCCCATCAAAGGTGCTATAATGCGGGTCACCGTAGATGTGGCAGAGAGCAGTGCTGGCTGGGTAACAGCCCCTCTGGCCATTCTGGATCTTGCAGACCTCGTCCTCGCCACAGGACAAGGCAGAGCAAACCATCTGGCCGTTGGCTTCACACCGGCACCGGCGAGTGCAATTCTCGTTCACGGAGTACTCGCCTTCCTGCAGGCAGGGAAACACCAAACGTCAGCGCAGGACACAGGAAAACTGAGGCAAGAGAGTCCCTGTGTGGGAGGGGTGCAAGCCAGGGCAGGGGTTTCACTCACGCTGTAGTAGTTGTCCTCAAAGAGGCAGCCACACTGTGCCTCGGGCACACAGGTGTCTCCACTGAGGAGGAAGCCAGAGGTGCACGCACAGCCCTCCACGCAGGGCTTGGAGCAGTTCTGTGGGGCTTGTCGGTCAACACAGGTGGCGGGACAGCCGGTCATGCAAGGGTCGTAGTAGCTGTTGGCAGGACACTTCAGGGCTGCAATGGGGAGGGGACAATTAGGACCAGCAAGACTTCAAGCAAGGAGGGCCTTCTGGGAAGGGGGAAAGACCAAAGACTGTCTTTGGCCAGAGGTTCTGGGCAAGAGGAGCGGCCCATTTCCCTTCTGGCAATGGCAAGGCAGGTACTCACGGCAGAAGGTAGCATTCCTCCAGGGGAGAAGAGTCACGCCGGCTGCCTGGCACGCGTCAGCGTAGGCCTCCAGAGCAGCACACAGGAACTCCTGGCCACCATTCAGGGCACAAAGGTCGTAGAGGCAGGTGTCAAAGTAGCTCTGTGGGTTGATCACGCTGTGGCACTTGTCAAAAGAGCTGGGCCTGGTGGTCAGTATGCCACAGAACCGGTC